TCTTACGTCTAGTGGTTTTCAAGGCGGATTGGATCAGGCTTTAACAGGCGCGTTAACTCACAGGAGAAGCCCATTCTTTCACCTCGCATCGTGGTGTGGCTTCCCCGGCCATTCCTAATGGTAAAATTTCATGTCCTATGTCACCTGGGCGTAACTGAACTGAAATCAATGTACTCGCCTAGTATGTCGCCTGTTTTTCTCAAGTGCTAATTGATGCAGGTAGCGCTGGCTCACAAATGTGCCTTTAATCCATGTTACTGGACTTTCCTGGGCCTCACCCACTCATGGGGGCCTTTGTGACACTGCAAAGCGTGGTGGCGATGAGAGTTCGTCACTATGCTGCACAGCGTTGCAGATTGACTTTTACCCGGCATCAGGCCCCATGTAGCCGAGTTTACAGACTGTTCTCCCTCTAAAAGGGGAAAGCGTCTCACACCACAGAACTTTTCTTTTTTGGTGGGAATGGGGTTTGAACTCAGGGCTTTGCACTTGCAAACTGCTCTACCACTTGAACCACACCTTCAGTCTATTTTGCTCTGGTTATTTTGGAGATGGGGGTCTCTCGAACTATTTGCCTGGGCTGGTCACGAACCTCAATCCTCCTGATCTCAGCCTCCCAAGTAGCTGGGATTACAGACAGAGCTACCATGCCTGATGCTTTCCTCTGTTCTCTTCTGCCCTTGAGGCTCTGGGGCATGAGATGCTCACAGTTGTCATCCAATTTTTCAGAGACAAGAACCACATTAAGAACAAACATAGGCCAGGTGCTATGGCTCATGCCTGTAATCCCAGCTACTTGGGAGGCTAAGATCAGGAGGACTATGGTTCAAAGCCAGCCTGGGCAAATAGTTCGGGAGTTCCTAGCTTGAAAATGCCCAACACGGAAAAAAAACACAAGGTTGGCAGAGTTGCTTAAGCAGTAGAGCACCTGTCTAACAAGCATGAGACCCTGAGTTCAAACCCCAGTGCCCCCCACCAAAAAAGCAAACAATCACGGAATGAGCATGCTGGGAGCTGCCTCCTACTGCCCTCCTCAGTCACTTCAGCCACCCTCTCATTCCCTGTGGAGTTGCTGACCCTCATGACGGTCACCCTCGTCCTGGTTCCAGCTTAGGGCCATCAGCACTGAGCTGTACCCTCACTCCCTTTTTGTTTTTTAATTTTGAGATAGGGTCTTGCTCAGTTGCCCAGGCTGGTCTCAAACCTGCAATCCTCTTGCCTCAGCCTCCTGAGAAGCTGGGATTGCAAGGTTGCACCACCAGGCTCAGCCAATCTCATCTTTGCTCCTGAGTGAGTCACTGGTTTTTAACAGTTACTTAAACTCTCTAGTGATCAATTGTTGTGTATGAGGAACACCAACTATTTCATGGCTGATTCCTGCGAAGCTTCCAAGTGTAGAATGCTCTGAACCCATGAGACATGAAGAAAGCCAGGTGTAGTTACCATCTGATAACGCAAAAGGTCGCTCATTCCTGCCTGCCTTCATTTATTCAGCAATTGTGGACCAAGTGTGTGAGCATCAGGAAACCTGTCAGACAGCAGGGAAGGGACTGGGAGGATGGACGGGAAAGAGGAGGAAGCACACCCAGCCCTTGCTCACTAGGGAAATCAGTCCATAGGGAGGGATTCCTTTACTTCAGAGTGAAATAGATCTGTCACTTTACAAAATAGCTTGAAAATGGTATAGGGGCAAGGGCCACAAATGGATTCAAAATAAGACAAACAGTCATCAAAAACTAAAGAACACACTACAAACAGGCAGCCCATGGGGAGGGAAGCTGGGCGCAGCCGGTCTTCCAAGGGCTCCCCAAAGCCATGGACACTGCCTCTGAGAGCTGGCTTCACAAGGGAACTCCAGGTCAGGTTGTAAATGTGGCCCCTGCAGCAACCAAGGGACAGCAGCCGTGCAACCCTAATGCTAGGACAGGGAACCCTAGACAAGGCACTTAGCACAGCAAAGGCTCCAGCTAAATCTGCAGGCGTGGGGACCCCAGGAAGGGGCCTGACCCGGGCTGGACACAGAGCCGTCCAGAAAGCTCCAGAGACCCCCAGGAGAGATTCACAGGAACAGGGGTTGTCACAGAATTGCTGACAAGGACAAATGGACCTGGGTCACATAACCAGTATTTACATTCGTAAATAACTCTGCATTAATGTAGATATAAGAGTATAAGCTATATATAAAAATCTGTGTCCTGTAAACCATACAACTTTGAATCAGTCATAAAAAATTAGTGAAAGTCTGACTCAAACAGGCCACAAAGAAAACCTCAAAATGTTCCAAAAATTAAAGCCTGAATTTTTTACTGAAACTCAGTAGCATTAGGTCCAAATTTAAAGTTTAGAGGCAACATATAAACATGACAACTACAGGCATTTATGGTTTCACATACAAAATGGCAATTACAGATAATTTAGGGCAAAAACAGTAAGAACACACGAGTTGTGGAATGATGCCAAAACCACACCAAAGGCAATGGATATTGTATGACATCATCATTCTTTGCAAACAAACAAATAAAAACGTGAACAGAAGCTTTTATCAAAAACAGTAAGTCTAAGGATAGCAGAAAGAAGAAAATTCAAGTGACATTTTTTTTTAAAAAATTGTGTTACCTGGAGACAAGAAAAATTAAATTTACAATGCAAAGGGATTGTCAGCATGCATGGGCTGAACAATTTTTTAATTACAGTAGGATCACGTGTGTGACGCTGAGTTAGCACATTTGAAATCTCTCTGGAAAGGAGAGCTTTCTGCAAAAACACACGCCCTAAACTCATACAACAAAACTTGGGGCATAGCTCACTGAAAACTCTGGAAGACAATGAAAAGGCTGTAAGACTAACCTACAAAAAAGATCATTTAAAAAATGTACCTGGAGGAAGGTAATTTCAACAATAAAGAAAGTTTCTACAACTATTCATATGACTCCAGGTGGAGCTGTGGATGTCTCTGTGGGGCAGGCTGGAGGCACGCACACCTTGAGAGGGAATGGGGTACAGTTTGATGAAGGCAAAAGTAGGGCTAAGGAGACCTGAGGGTTACAGTTCTTGGGATCCAGAGGAAACTGGGGAGAGGGCTAGGTCTTCCTGACCTTGAAGTCCCCAGTGAGTTCCAGCCTGTGCCTGGGTGAGGAGCCAGGGAAGGGGAGCCTGACCTCCCTCTTCTGTACCCACCATGGGCCACAATCCGGTGGTCAGACCTAAGCAAGCCAAAGGCCGAGGGTCCTAGGTGGACAACAGGCCAGGAAGCCCAGTTTTGGGAGCAGGGCATGGTGAGGGTGGGAATGAACAACTTCCAAAGGTGGCCTCTGTCTCTCCGTCCTTAGAGCTGGCTGGCTGGTGTCAGCCAGGATCCCTCTCAGGAGGAAAGAATGGAGGTGTCCAGCCTGGGTGAGTAAGCAGAGGGCTTTGTTTAGGTTTTCATTTGCAACTGTGTCTCACACCATCCCAGACACAGACCCACAAAAACACTTCTACAAGACGTGACAAATGAAAGTCACTAGCTTTAAATATGAAGTCCCCATGCTGAGGAAGAAAACCAGAAAAATGCAAGTGAGGCTTTATGCAGTCAATGACCACATAAAGGAAGTCATTACAAGACACCCACAAACAACACCCTAAGGTCAATGTATGCGTAAGTTAAGTCCTTAATCTCACTGATAATGAAAATTAAAACTACCGCTGTCACAGTAGCTCTTAAGAAGCATCCACACTCCCTGCTGTCAGGAACGTGAGGTCCAGGAATCTCTCCAGGTGTCACCTGGCACACTGGGACAGACTCTGGAGAGCTTTGGGGTGGTTCTGTGTCTCCCACCCTCAGAAGCTGCTTCTCGGTCACCTTCACTGCTTCCTGGGCTTCTTAGGAGCTCCTCTGGGCTGGGTCTTCCTGAGCCTCAGGTGTCTTGCTCAGCCCCTCGGCCTCCCCCACTACCCACTGCCTGTGTTTGCTGGAGCTCCCGGCTATCTAGACAGTTACACAATCCCCAAGTAGATCGAAGAGCAGCAGCAAGGACCTGGAGTCGCAGATGTGAGGGAAATCAAGGCAGCTCAAGGCAGACCTGCACTTAGGTGGGCTTTTGTTTTGTGTTATCTTTTTTACGGAAAAGTCTTCCTACAGTTACGGATTCAAAGGGCATTTTCTTCTCCGTACAGAAGGCATTAAAGTTCACAACCTGCAGAGTCAGTGTCCTGCCCAGGTGTGCTCTGTGCACGAGGGGCTGTCCCACAGTCTCCTGCTGTATTCACACCCCGGGTCCCACAGGACGTTGAGATGACCTTCACGGTGACTTGGGTGCATTTCTATTCAAATTACCTCATAGATGGGCAGAGGCATGAAGGCAGAGATCTACATTTTTGTGATACTGGGATTTTTCTACCTTAATGCTGCGGTTCTAGAATGTTCTTTATCAGGGAAATACTGACTATCGAAAGTAAACCTTCGGGGCTAAGGTCCTATCCCTGCTTTTAATCAGCACACTGGCCCAGGGCCCGGCACTTGCCCCCACTGTCTTGCAGTGCCTTGTCTTCGTGTTTCCTGTCCTGCAGAAGGGGTGGCTCAGTCACGACCTCATGCTGGCAGCATGGGTGAAATGAGAGGAAAGGTTTGCTCAGGACAGGCTGCTCTGCTTGGCGAGAGAAGGACAAGGACTTCCATGGCTTCATTCTGCTTTCAGTGCCAGAGTGAACATAATTCCCCAGTGAGGAACGGGATTTGTGAGCTGTCTGCACTCAACCCAGGTTCTGAAGATGTGGGGCCTTCCTCAGCCACGTGGGGTCACGTGACTCTCGACGCAGGGCGCCGTGTTGCAGAGACACCCTCATGCACCTTTCCCTCCTGGGCTGGGACCCAGCAGAGCGACAGTGTCTTCCCCACAGACACCCCAACTGTCTGCATCTTCACAAAGAGGGAGGATGCTTTGCTTCATTAAAAAACAGCCAAGCTTAGTGACGGGGCTGTGGATGGGGGGCAAGGAGAAGTAAGCTGAGGCCACACGTACCTGGCTGGGCTGGAAGCTTCTGGATGCCATGCAGAGGCTTTGGGGAGGTTCCTGAGCTCCTGGGCCATGACTCGCTGAGTGTAGTCATCCTGCCACGTGAGACCTGCAGGGAAAGGTGGAGGTTGAGGCACAGGTGCAGAAGTGCAGAGGTCTGCTGTCATCCCAGATGCTTCCCTCACGCCAGCAAGGCCAGCAACAATGCAAGCCTCCCCCCGTGGGCCGGCAAGATCTCCTCTTACCAAAACTCAGCTTCGCCAGACTCTAGACCAAAAGGACAGTCAATGCTTTGCTGTGGGTTTTAACAATAGGCACAGTAGGTGCCAGCTGTGGGCAGCCAGCGGCCGGGAGCCTTCTTGTTTAGAAGGGTCTTTTCCCAGTATGGAGATGGAAACATCTCCGTGCAGGGTTCGACCTCCTCCACAGGCTGCATGGACAGATTAGCCCAGCGCCCCCTGCCATGCCCCATCCTGCTTTCGAGCTGCGCGTTTGGCTGGGCCAGGGGCACTCTTCCTGTGAGGCGCCCATCGTGGCTAATGTACTGTCTTGGAGCCAATTACACTGTATTTACACTCAAATGTTGTGACAAAGAGCTTCCTAACAAGGGTGAAGCGGCTCTGAAGGCGAAATCCATGTGATTATGCGTTAATTACACGCACTGCGGATCACATGATAATTATGCTCAGAATTACCAAATAGCTCCCGAGAATAATTATTATGCAATTTGTACATTTTAGATCTTATGGTAACACTTCCACACTTAGAACTACCCCATGCAATTACCCATAATTATCTAATCACTAAATATCGTGTAATTACAGAGGTATATTTTTATGCCTTGTATTAAAACACATTACCAAAATCTTCAAATCAGGACGTGTGCACATGTGTGAGTGTGTGTGTACGTCAAGGAAGCCCAGAGCCCACACCAAACTCCTGATGTACTTAAAAGAAGTGCTCAGTAGATGTAAGCAACCTTCATGAATGCAATTTTTTTACATTTTAAGCTTAGAGATCAAATGGTAGGCATATTCCTGATTCCCAGGAGGCCCAAAGGCACAATTACCCAGGAGGACAGCCTCCTGGGCAGCTCTCTTTGACCTGTGACTCACTGCAAGGGGACCAGCCCCAGCCACTACTGCTCTTCCTCAGGATGGGGTGCTTAGCAATGGGGAAATTAAGGACCACAGGGCGCATGCATTCCTGAGGTGTTCCTAGGAACACTCTCACCAGAAAGCACACGTGAGATGTGCACACACTAGCTGGCATCTTGGATTTAGAAAATCAACATATTTTAAGCATGCCATTCCCCAAAGTCAGCCTTAATACTGATATTTACCAGGAAACAGGTAATCAAGGGCACAAGAAACTTTCCATGAAAAAAATTCACTTACAACATTTGGAGAACTGAAATTCATTAGCATTTTCAGCACTGAGCTCTGTCAGTTCTGGAGTCTGTGACAAGGGCTTAGCCCCGAAGGACAACAGCTGACCAGAAAGGAAAACCATCTATATGGCAGTCTGAGGAGGACCCTAGCCAGGGTCCCAAGCCTTCCTGGGAGGAAGCAAGAACTGTGTTCTTGGATAAAAACAAAAAATGTGATGACTAGGAGACTTCAGCGTCCCTGCCAGCTGCTCTGTGAGGCATGTCTTGAGGGAAGAGACTATTGGCTTCTGAAAAGATGGAGGAGACATGGCTTCACCTATTCCTTCACTAAGCACAACTAGTGACTCTGGGCACAGAATAAGTAGAAGACTGAGGGTGAAACGCAGGCAGCTGACCAAAGAATGACAGCATGGCGAGTGCCCTGGGGTTCTTTTGGCTCCCACATCCTAGACTTAAAGCTAAAGAGGCCATCGATCTAGAAACTCCCAGCCACACAAAGCCCAGCCAAAGCTGCCTCTCTCTTTTAGAAGCCAGGAAGGGGCAACTCAGCAAGACAGTGAGTGTCAGGCAATGGTGGACACCACAGAAGCACAGTCTCTCACCACCAAGACTGAGGGGCCAAGACTTCATCCTTTAGGATTCCTTGATGAGCACCCCATCCCCCAGACTCGGTGAAAGAAGGCTGACAGGAGAGTCAGAACCCCTAGGGTAAAGGGGAGACTATCTGGGGGTTGGAGCTCCCATCCCTCCCCACCCTCAGGTGTCAACAGAGGCCCAGAGAGCGCCTGGACTTCTACCTCCCCCTGTAGGAGATGAGGAGCACCCCATCTCTGCCCTGGTAGAGCAGTGCCAGAAAACACCAGTAAAAGTCCAACCCCAAGGTTTAAATGAGAGCCAGAGTCTCATACTATACAAAAATGTCCAGGTTCCGGTAGAAAATCACTGGTTACACCACAAGACCGGGAAGAAATCAAATCAAATGAAACGGGAGTCAGAACTGCGAGACAGAGACAAAGACAATAGCAACGCCTCAGAGCAACCACGAGCGCACTTGAAACAAATGAAGAATGAATGTGTCAGCAAGTGCATGGAAGACAGAAAGAAGCCCCAGTGGAAGTGTTCTAACTGACGAATGGAAGAAGCAAAACAACAGTTCAGAGGGTACACTTCACAGGAAGATGGGGCCAGAGGACAGAGCCAGTGAGCTGCAAGACAGAACAACGGAAATCACCCAACTTCAACAGCAGAGAGAAAAGTCTAGGAGAAAAGATGAAGGGAGCCTTTGGGACCCTGGGGCCATAACCAAACGTGTACTGCCAGAGAGGAGGAAGAAGGCAGGGCTGGAAAGGTACTCGCAGAGTAATGACTGAGACGTCTCCATTTGGGCAAGAAACATAAACTTACACATTCAATATCAGCACAGCCTGAACTGGGCAAACCTTAAGCTCCTTTGAAAACCTACACACAAATCTCAACAACAGCCAAGTAAAAATGACACCTTATCCACCTCAGAAATACTATTCAAATAACAGGATTGCTTATCAGAAACCAAGGAAGCCACAGAGAAACAGCACGTTCGCAGGTGCTGAAAACAGCAAGAATCAACCCAGAATCTGGAAGGCGTCCCTCCACAGAGCCAGTGGAAATGTCCTTCAGGAATGAGGGGATGGTCGAGATAGTCTCAGTAAAGGTAAAATGACTTTCTCACCAGGAGGCCTACTCCAACAGAAGTACTAAGTGAGCTTCTCTAGCAGAAAGGAGATGAGAGGAGGCAGGGCGGGGAGTCTCAGGAGGAACAGGGTGAGCTGCAGACCGGAGGCAACTGAGATCCTCCTCCTGCGGTCAGGGCTGAGAGGGAAATCAGCACTGAGATGCTCACGTCCTTCTAGTGCATGTGGGGGAAGTGTGTAAGCAGTCACATGACAACAAAATGTCGAAAAGAGAGGTAAGCTTTCTGTATTCCACACCAAGTGATAAAGTCCTGACACCAGCAAGCTTGCATTCTAGATATGTAATGTGATATCTAGACAACCACTAGGAAAAGCTCTCCACATACACTCAAAACAACTACAGGCAAGTTAAAATTGCCAAAATGTCACGGCAACCCAAAGAAAGGGAAGAAAAAGCAGATAAATAAGCAGAAGGGAAAATAGCAAACAAAAATGATATGAGAGAGGCCCTAACATCAGTGGGCTGAACACCAATGAGAACGTGGACAGGGGTTGAGGGGAGTTTTAAAATTATTCAGCTATATGCTGTGCATATGAAACTCCAGATAAAATGCTACAGGAAGACCGAAAGTAAAAACATGGCAAAATGTATCATGCAAGCTTTAAAAAGCAGCTTCCTAGGTATTAGCATCAGATAAATGAATCTTCAGAGCAAAGAAAATAACCAGAGACCAAGAGGGGACCTGCACGGTGATAGAAGACATAGCCATCCTAAGCGTAGCACCAATGACACGGTGCCAATGTGTGAAGCAGAAAGTGACGGTTTCAAGACTGTGTTCTTAGAAGTGGCAGAACCACTAAACAGAGCCAGCAAGTGCAGAGAAGAGCTCCACACCACCGTCAACAGCAGGCTCTGCACCGACCCGAGGGCAGATGGTCCTTTTCAGTCACCTGTGGGCCGTGTGCCATGTACGACTGTATGCTGGGCCGTGAACATGCTGGGCAAGAGGAAGACAATGGAACCGTACAGAGATGTCCTCTAAGGCAGCTAGAGACCACGGCAGAGCTATAAGGGTTCTCCAAATGCTTGGAATTCTAACAGCATGTTTACAGGTAACCCATGGGTCAGAGAATGCCCTTGAGCTGAATGAGAGTGCAAATGAAACGAATATAAAAAATGTGCCCCATGCAGTTAAGCAGTGCTACAAGTGAAACGGTAGACTAATACTTACATTAGAGCAGAGGAAAAGCCTTGAATCAATAATCCAATTTCTACATCAGGAATCTACATGGGGGCTGGAGGCATGGCTCAAGTGGTAGAGCAAAGCAGGTGCTTTGTAAGTGCAAAGTCCTGAGTTCAAATCCCAGTACCACCAAAAGAAAAAAAAAAGACTCTACATAAAGAAAAGTAAAATATACTGGAAGCAAACAGAAGGAAGAAAACAGTAAAGATAAGTTAATGAGCCAGGTGCCAGTGGCTCACGCCTGTAATCTTAGCTACTCAGGAGACAGAGATCAGAAGGATCTCAGTTCAAAGCCAGTCCCGGGCAATTAGATCATGAGATTCAACACAAAACAGGGCTGTGGAGTGGCTCAACTGGTAGAGCGACCTACCAAGAAAGCCCTGAGTTCAAACCCCAGTACCACAGCAAAAAAAGATAAGGTAATGAAATTTAAATCAGAAAAAATAGAGAAAATCTGTGACAATAAAAATCAGTTTTTTGTAAAGATCAGTAAAATTGGCCAACTTCTAGCAGGATTGAAAAGAAATCACGAATGCAAGCAATGGAGTGGGATAACACCGCAGACCACAAACGTCAAAGGGAAGTACACAGGTAAAACTGACAACGCTGACGGAACGGACAAACTCCTTGAAGAACACCACAAGTCATCCAGTTTGAAACAGATTATTCTGCCAGCCCTGTAACTATTAGGGAACTTCAGTTCAGCGTCAAAAACCTCCTCCACAGAAAATTCACAAGCTCAGATGGCGTCTCTGAGATTCCTACCAAACAGAAAAGAATTAACGCGGATTATACGCGATGTCTT